TAGTTGCTGTGGGATGCGGAAAGATATCATAGTGTCCCAGCATTTTCAACTTGTTCTACGTCTCCAGGCCATGCAATTCTAGACGGTGGGATAATCATTCCTGCGTGTTCCCACCATTGTCCTGAGGCGAAACACCGGTTTGATAGGTTTGGGAAAACAAAAGCACACCCGTCATCACATTTTCACAACGTTATCAACTCATTATCAGTTAAGCAGTAGTGTGCCGATAAACACGTAGACTGTACATTGCGTACTGTGTAAGAACTAAAAAAAATAAAATATTTACCAAGTGTACAAATGTGAATTTCAGAGCACAACTAACATCCAAAACGGCAAGGGAAGCTCCTACACAGCACAGAATAAAACATAAATTAGGAACAACACCAGACTCGCAAATATATCACAATTAAAATCTAGTAGAAATACGAGTTGATAAAGTCAAAAAAGGAACATGTATCATACAAAGCCAGTTAATGAAGTATGCAAGCGGCGAAATTACTTACAATGTGAGAAAAATCAATGACTGTCAACTCCTATAAAATTATTTAATCTCTGTAAATATCGCTGACGATTATGTTCTATCATTGTCCATTTTCTTTCTGTGTACATGCGTTTCCATTGAGAAGCATCCGATGACACCTTTAAACACAATAAATAACAATACAACTTTAAATATGACGGAGTTCAAGTAAGACTAACATTTTCAGAAAGTCGCGGTGAGGAACGCAGTCCGCCAGAACGAATACGATCAACAGTCGCCTGGAAATGGGCAGTAATCGCAACAAAACTGTTCAAAATGTTTCTAGTGTCATAATTTTTCCCGAAATTCCGTGCACTTCATACGTTCGTCGTGAAAAGCTCAAATTGTTACATATTCTACAAGTCATCTAACTATTATGAGGAAGGATAGGAACGGACGAGCGGTCGAACTAGACACAGGAGCAAAGTAAGGCTGTAAGGCTCATACTTCGCGTCAGCGTCCACCAGCGGCCACCGGCGTCCACCAGCGACAGCCGTTTTCGCGAACACGTTTGAACATGAGCAAAACTGTCCGCGAAAGCGGTGCTGTGTGCTGGTGGACGCTGGCGTTCGCTCGATACCATTATTTCCCTAATCTTTCGAAACTCTGGTGGACACTGGTAGATGCTGGCATTCGTCATGACGCTAGATTGATATCCATACTTTCCTAGTCGCTGGTAAACGCTGGATATGACTGGCGCATCCATACTTTCGCAATCGCTGGCGTACACTCGAAACGCTAGTGGTCACATGTGGACGCTAATGCAAAGTATGAACGCAGCTTAATGCCTTTACCGAAAAAGCACGATTTAGGGTACGCACGCATAAGAATGCAACAGAACCTGTTGATCTCTGGTACGTTCAAGATCCATTCGAATGTCGAGAAGATCTGCAGAAGGATGCGACTGTTTGATTCGCATTGCTATTTCATCAAGCACTCTAGTATTGACAACTCTTCTCTGCAAACATACGTATAAGATATCATAGATAGATATTGATTTAAAAGCGACACACACCTTCACTGGAGTAGGAGCTGCTCTCGAATGAAGATGCCTTTTGGCTGCCTCCACGGCATCGACGTGCGTTAGGTTCGTGACAACAAGTCCGAGGTATTCCGCAATGGCAGTCTCTACGCGTAAAGAAAACTCTTCTACTGTTTCCTGAAGTTATGCTGCATCAGATTTAGTATTAGCGTTTGAATATAATCAACTCACATGTTCCCTTCTTTGTAGAACAGGGAGCCAAGTAAGATGATAAACGCTGACAGGTAGGAACACGAACCAAGCAACATCAGCCCACCATGTCGACCCAAGGAGGGATGGAGTTATGTTGAAAAATGGCCGTGAGATACGCATGGCCAGTGGCTGCACCTGGTCGGACACCTCGCACGGCCATGAACTGAATGTCGCCAATATAACCCGCTGACAACCTAAGGAAAACAAGGGAAAAAATTTCTAGAATATTTTTAACGCGCAGTTCACGAAGGTACGTTACAGAAACCTTTATCAAAAGGATCCTAGAATATTGGCGAGCAAAAAAATGAATCCCAGCTGGGACTCGAACACGGGTTTCAGGTTTGATGGGTCATACACTGCTCACAAGGATCGCCTCCCACCTTTCAATTTAACGGCTCATAAATCCTAGGTTGACAAATACTTTAGGTTGTTGTAAACAACACGAACAGGCACCCGACACTCAATGAACTTTGTTCCTGCCATGAGGCGGCCAGCAGATTCCTGGTCACCAGGTCCCTGAGGAAGGCACTGATACCGAAATATTCAGACACATAACAAATACTTTTGAGTTACAGGTATGCTTCAGTATTCTTATGCTATAGAAGCTTTGGAAGTCTATTGGCTTTTTTTTTACAATATTCAGATATTTATAAGGCTCCGGGACAGCAGGATGTTTAGAAACATTTTTTTTTCATTTCAACATGTTTCATTTTACACTTGACCAGTAGTTTTGTGAGGATGCTTAGTGATGGGCAAAGATTTGCCTCTGGCACCTAACTCGAATTTGGCATTTACCCACAA